TCCTAGCACAAGTTGTAAACGCTTCTTCTTGTTGCATTCCTCATCTGTGACTATTTAGTTTGCTGGGGGCCTGTTGTGACCGCAAAATGCTTTTCGTGCTTCATCCACTGTTTTCTACAGATGTGCTCCTTAGTGCTTGTAAATGAGTCATTTTCTCTTTCATGGAGTAGAAAAATCTGCAAATAATAATGGCTTGCATACCAGCCCATACAGAGTTTAAATGCAAAATTACTTATTGATTCTGTTAAACACTATGGTGTATCTTCATTAAAACTTTAAAGCTGGAATTTCAATTATTTGGATCTTGATCAAAGTTTATCACACACACACAGAAGAAAAGCAAATTTTTGGAACAACCCTCTCTTTCCTGTTCTTGCTTACTCCCCTGGGCGTTTTTCATATAAAACCGAAGATGTCGACCTGCCCGGTCTCACAGCAAAATGTATAATAGCTACATTGGTCCACAGTGTAAAACATAGTAGTGTCACAGTAATGGCTGTTCAAATTGTGACATGGCAATGTTTGTTGTATTGCAGCCCAGTGTCCTTCTTCGTGGTCTTCTTCTTGGTGTTTTATGGCAGTTGTCAAAAAGGAAATGGCACATTACCGCCACATATACAGTGGGTACGGAAAGTATTCAGACCCCCTTAAATTTTTCCCTCTTTGTTATATTGCAGCCATATGCTAAAATTATTTAGTCCATTTTTTTTCCTCATTAATGTACACACAGCACCCCATATTGACAGAAAAACACAGAATTTTTGACATTTTTGCAGATTTATTAAAAAAGAAAAACTGAACTATCACATGGTCAGACCCTTTGCTGTGACACTCATATATTTAACTTAGGTGCTGTCCATTTCTTCTGATCATCCCTGAGATGGTTCTACACCTTCATTTGAGTCCAGCTGTGTTTGATTATACTGATTGGACGTGATTAGGAAAGCCACACACCTGTCTATATAAGACCCTACAGCTCACAGTGCATGTCAGAGCAAATGAGAATCATGAGGTCAAAGGAACTGCCTGAAGAGCTCACAGACAGAATTGTGGCAAGGCACAGATATGGCCAAGGTTACAAAAAAATTTCTGCTGCACTTAAGATTCCTAAGAGCACAGTGGCCTCCATAATCCTTAAATGGAAGAC